ATCACGTCTTTATTCCACTGCAGTGTTTAGTATTCGATTGTGTCCTTTGTTTACCATTATTCGTCATTACCATTACCACAGTTATAACCTTTCCATGAATTAACAAAACTTGACATGTTGATTTTTGACTGTTATAAAAATTGGTATAATTATCACAGATCCATCATGCATCATTATAAATTGGCTGTGATAAAAAATGACAAGCTTAATTTAAGTTTGCAGGAAGAGATAATTAGAAGGTGTAGAAGTATGCAGAAACCAGTGATTGTAGCCACAAATATGCTAGAGAGCATGATAAATCATCCAACTCCAACCAGAGCAGAAGTTTCTGACATAGCAATTGCAGTTCGAGAAGGTGCAGATGCCATCATGCTATCGGGTGAAACTGCTCATGGAAAGTGAGTTATTACAATTGCAACTTGTCTGTTTTTGGCAATTAGACTACATGCAAAGTTAATTTATAAGCTCGTCTTATTTCTCTACAAATTTTTTTACTTCAATTTTATTTAGAAATAAGGTCGTACTGTCTCGATTATAATACAAGCAAAGTTACTCTAGTTCTGCTGTCTGTAACATAAGACTTCTGTTTGCCATACTTAATTTTGTCTAGAAATAAGGTTGTACTGTCTGAATAACATAGATCTTCTGTTTGCCACACTGTAGAGAATTTACCAGATATACTGTAAAGTGCTAAGAAGCTTTTCCTAGGGAACATGAAATTATATTGTTTTTTTAATTTCACAAAGCTGATTAACTATTAATTAATTACTTGATTGTTTAGTCCTTCCATACGCATTTTTATTTTACTTTATTTTTTGGTCCTAGGTATCCATTGAAAGCTGTTAAAGTAATGCACAATGTAGCATCAAAGACTGAATCAACAATATCAAGCACCGTTAAGCACTCAATTCCTGCAATGGTAGTCCAGGTAACAATGTTTTCAAGGGAAATTTTGAGTTTTTTTCCTTAGCTTTTGATGTTCGTCCAGGTATCAATTCCTGCCATCCTCACAACTGAAACCCAGAATTTTGAAACTCGAGACCAAATCTTCTTGGCACTGCTTGTATTTTATTTTTCCTTTGTTTCTGCAGGCTGTAAGTGGCGAGGACTTCTCTCAAAGCCGGATGAGTGCGCTGTTTGCTTCACATGCAACAGCAATGGCCAATACTGTTGGCACACCTATTATCGTTTTCACACAAACTGGTTCCATGGCGATACTTCTGAGTCACTATCGGCCTTCATCAACTATATTTGCATTCACGAATGAGTTAAGTATTATCAGTTGCGATTAGCAATCTCAGTAAAGATTGTATCTCTTGTATTTACATCTATAAACCTTCCATGGCCTTTGTACCTTATATTAAAACTAAATCATGTTTGGCAGGGAAAGAGTGAAGCAGAGGCTGTCTCTTTACCATGGGGTGCTGCCCATATACATGCAGTTCTCCGGTGATGCAGAGGAGACCTTCTCTAGGGCGATCAAGTTCCTGCTGGTATTGCAGATGCAACTGCCATCTTGCTTCTTCACTGTATTCTTCATCTAAGTGTTTGTTTGTTTACTTGGATGGAATAGGGTCATGGGCATCTGAAGGACGGAGAATATGTCACTCTAGTTCAGAGTGGAATACACTCGATCTGGAGACGGCAATCTACGCATCACCTTCAAGTTCGCAAAGTTGGAGGCTGATGCGATCTTCGTATAGGCAATTCTTTTACCACGTAGCTACTTGATCTTTAATTCCATGTGCCGTTGCAAAATGCACTTATTGGGATCTATTAGCTCAGTTAATTTTAGAGTAATTTTTTTGAACTTGATCTGATCATAAATGTGATATATTGTTTTGATTCATAACCATTTTATTTTATTGGACCGAGGATTACAAGCCAACCCGAGGACCAGAGGGGCTCAAATATGGAGACTGGGACCCCAAAAGCAACTGCCCAATGGTGATGTGGCCACGTGGCGAAGTCGTTCCCGTCAAACTCTGACCAATGAGGGGGCGCCACGTTTTCCACCTGTTCGTTCGCGTCGGGCGACTCTGGGTTGTCTGTTTCCCGTTTAAAGTATACATTGTATTCCAAATGCGACTTCTCGACGTGTTTACCACCGTGTCAACCCGCTTCGTGATTGAAGCAAGATGCGGATCCCATGGCAGAATGGTCGTGTTGGCGAGACGTGCCCGAAAGGGTAGATCGAACCCGCCCAATTATTATCTGTCTATTTGAGGACACAACGAATAAACAGAGGCAAAGGGTCGTTAACCAACCTGAGCGAGGACTTCCCGTTCCCCACCCTTCCCGTTCCTTTCGCCTCTTCTGGGTCGCAGCCAATGGGGCATCAGCATCGTCGTCATCGTCCAAACGACGAGAAGGTACGCCCAACCGATCCATCATTCTCTCGGTTAAAACTTTCGGCTTCGATCTTTCGTTTCTTCCTCTTATTTTGATTTCTTTTTTCTTTTGCCTTTTTCGGGGTTGTTCTTCTGGTAACGTGTCTTCCCCTGCTCAATCTTCTTGGAGAGGAACTAGTTATGTGTTTCTTGCCCGTGATTTTTTGCACCACCATGTCGTTTATGTAGTTCTTGATGATATATCGATCATCGGTTTGTTTTATGTTCTTGGTGATTCTGTGTCTTTTATGTATCGTTTGATCTCACGTAGGTATGTCACATTCTTGAAACTTCTCTTGGTCAATAGATCTGTGGAATTTAGTGATTTCTAGGCTAATGGGATCGCACAATGTGGTGGAGGATTTCTACTTCGTGTGGAATTCGCTGAGGTTCGATTGGATTACTTTTGCTGGGATGGTAGAATCGTGGAATAGGGTTTCCGCAGATGTTTTAGATTCTACAGGTTCTTCCTCTTTAAATCGATTGGCCCCCGCGGTACAACTTGGACAATTTGCTCAAGCCCCGAAGATGGTTGTGAGGTATTGCATCGATATCAAAATATGGAATCGCGAGACTTGAAAAGAAAGCCAAGCCAAAGCGTAAAAACTAGCTCGATTAGTCTAATCGTAGTGCGCCTGGGTTTGCTTGTGGAGCATGTCACTCGTTTCGAAGATTACCAAGACCAAATTGTTTGTTCATGCGTTATATCCATACGTTAGATCCCCGGGACCAATTTGTTTGCACGTCAAGATGTTAAATGCCAGTGAGACACATGAATTACTGCTGCAGTTCTCAGGAAGGCTTTTTTTAAGAAATTGAAATGGGATACATCAAACAAACTTAGGACATAGCTTGGGATCAGGATTTGGGTCGAAGAACCATTAGGAAGACTTCTTGAGTCTGTTGGACATTAGCCATTAGAAATATTTTTCCTTGGAAAGGGTTACATTGGTGGGATTAGATCTACCGTGGAGAAAATTTCTTTGGTCTTTCGGCGGCTTATTAATTTGAAGGTCATATGAACATTTTCTTTTTCGTTCATATCAATGTCCGAAAGACTTTTTAAGTTGAGTCTTGTATTTTTCTTGTCGGTAAATTTTCTGAGAAATCATAGGTTTTATGAAACAATTGAGCCCCACCGAGTGCCAAGCAAGCTATTATTCTAATTAGCTATAATAACCCATGCTGTTGGCGAATCGTGTGATCTCTATTTGTTTACCTCCTGTACACAACGTTTCGGGATTCTTATTCGAATAAATTTATTCACATCATTAATTTTATCATGTCATGGGAGGGTAACTGGTTGGGATGATCGATATGAATTGATTGTTAGTTATCCGCTTTATTGCATCCTTTTGTTCAGTTTCTCGCTACCATTCACTAAAAATTAGTTTTTCTTTCAGATCCATTGCTTATCATATAAAAAATATCAGTTTTCTTTTAGATTATACAATAGCCACTACGTAGAAAAAGAAAAAGAAAAAGATTAATTTAGTTCTAAGCATAGTTATTTAGCCACTAAGCATAGTATTCTTTTAGATTATACAATAGCTGGACGCACCATATTTCATGAGGATATCAATTATTCATGTGACTGATTACCTTATGTAGCTGATGTTGTTTCATGCAGCCGTGTTCAGATTACAAAAAGTCATGTGAAATAAGATATGTAACAGACAAATCACGGTAAATAATATACTGAGTATGTATTATTATTATTACTTTTTGCTCTGTAATTCGTCAAAAGAATTAAGCTACAATTTATTGTTCAAGTTGCGAAAACGACTTGATGCGGTTGCTTTTAGGTTTTCGATGTAAAGGATGGACTGGTTAAGCCAGGAAATAATGGCTACAGCTTACAAGGAATTTGTTAATAGCAATATCCTTTGGAACAAGCTGTGTTAATTATTAATTTTCTTTTGGAAAACAATGTGTCAAAACTTTTTCAGACTGATTGGCTCTCTACGGACTCCATGGCACCCAAGACGGACGTTTCACAGGAACTTGCTCGAGAGTCTCTAATAGCAATCTCCCAATCTGTTCCAGAAGAGAACCCCACCTCACATTTGTTGCCGGTTAACCCAGCTGTTGTTACCATCGCCAGTGCAAAGGAAACTGAAGAGACTGAAAAGTACAGATCTGAGCTGATCTCTATTGCCTCTATCCAGTCTCCATAAGTTGATCTGTGACCTGAGGTCAATTTGTATTTCTCGTGTTGATAAGTTGATCCGTGTTACTCGTCGCTGTTAACCTGTCGCAACATGTTTTAGAGAACGAAACCGTGGCAGAGTGGATTTGATGACGGACAGAGGGGGGCTGAGACGGAAAGGGGAGGTGACGGCTTATACCATCTTTATTTTCTTTGACAATTATTTCAAAAAAAATCGAAGGATTTAAATCTACATATACTTAGATTTTTTATTACTTTAATTTAAATCACAAAAAGAAAGACCCGCACACGAATTGTCCTTTTTCTTTTTGTCTTTTTGGACATCGTCATACTAGTTTATGATCACCAGGTCAGCAGATCTTTCACAACTTGGACGCATGCCTCACAGGAAGTTTCAGGTCCTCCCAGCATGCATCATCGACTTCCGAAAAATATCGATCCACCACCTTCACATCCACTAAATCCAGACTACAAGGATCCCACTGCAAGTAATTAACATGTATTATGCGACTGACAGTTGCAAAATGTGTCAGCAAATAAAAGAATCATAACGTAGGGAAGATCTCCACCTTTGGGTTCCTGTCTTTATCCACCAATATAGCCCTGCAACCCTGCACGAGGGAGTCCCAAGTTTCAGAGGGCATAAAATGCAATTAATATAAGTCGGTGTCACATTTACCTCGAAGAAATCATTGCTGGCTTCTTTGCGCAAAATGTGGCAGCACAATCGGTAATCTTTCATCAAGCATTGGCCAACTCGCTGCACTCGCCCTTCTCTTATCTAGGGATCCCACAAAGTCGCATTGTAAATGTAATTGTAACTTTATGTAATTGTAAATGTAGTAAGAGCCTAATGTACATATATGTCACAAATACATGTCACAAAATATTAGCCTACTATTTCTATAAAATACATATGTCACAAATATCTGATTCATGGTTATTTAATGTACATATATGAAACCAGGAATGTCAATAATGATAAAACAAGCAGTATAAATAAATACAATAATTCTTTAAACAACTTTAAAAGCAATTAACTGGGGCGTTTGAGCAAACAGTATAGAGATTTATACCGCTCTGAGAGTAATTTTCAGACTGATTGGTGATGCCTTTTTCAGTGACCGGATAGCTACCACAATCCACTCATTAGCTGCATCTACAGTTTCTAATTCCTGCATCAATTAAAATTAACTCAATAAGAGTAATCACTCCACCAATGTGAACATTGAGGCACTGAAAAAATAGAAAAAGGAATAAAGTAATTCTGAAATTGTATCATATAGAACACAACAAATGACCAATCCAACTTACAAGAGCAGACAATATTTCTTCAACTGTTTCTTTCGAGAAGCATTTGTTAATCACATCGAAGCTACAACCATCCATGAAAGTTACAGAAGAATGAGTCGGCAAAGCCAATAACATGACGACTGGGAAGGATCCATTAAGTAATACAAATTTCTACAATTATTGACAACTTTTTCTATTCTCATTTCCAAGGAAATTATGTCTACGGAACAATCAAGCAGCAACTTTTCTATTGGCATTTACGACTCACAAAAACAATCAAGCAGCAGCTGATAGCCTAAAATTAAAAAGTTTCCTTGTACTCCAACATGAATTGTGCCGTATGCAATAAATTTCTGATCATAAGATGCGACAAAACCTTTCCTCATATCAATATTGCCATAAAAAAGATGAAAAATATAATAAACAGATAACTTCGGTTTCCTGCAAAAGATATTTAAAGGGAGAAGTAATGACTGTGAAGGAATTGGAGGCTGGGGTAGCTGTGGCAAAAGGGTGAAAAAGTACTCATTTTTGTACACATGAAACACAATGGTGCCATAGCCGAACAATTTATTTTGCTAAAGAGGTAAATCTATATTACTATTTTAAATGCATGTAAAGAACTAGAACACACATCCAGAGGGAGAGAAGAAAGATACAGTCAAATTAAAAATTCAAAAAATTACCCATTAAAAGCACTGCTTTCTTTTAGAGGCACGCGTCTTGAGAATTGATCAATAATTGCACAGATAGCAAAATGATCGGAAGTTTCCACCTTTGCAAGTGTGTCTTCCAACAGTGTTAATTTCTGTTAAGCAACAAACACAATTCAGATGCATCCTTCATCTGCATTCAAGCTTCTGTGAACCCTCCAAACATTAGCAGCAAGGCAATAAAATTCATACCACATGTACATCAGTAATATAGATGGGCATTTAAGATTTAGTGCATAAGGCCCTGACAAGCAAGACTCTAAAAGGAGCAAAAAGGGACCTCTCTGTTGGGCAACTATACCATAGAAGGGACAAAGTGAGTTGCAAGGCCACATGCAAGCATTTCAGCTCCATCTAACCTTGCACCAGTCAACCCAACATATTCTCCTACAAAGGAAGAAAACCATTAATAAGCATAGAAACTAGCATATTAGAAACCAAATTTGGCCAGAAACATTGTGCTGTGTTTCCATGTCCATGAACAAGAAAAAAATGTATTTGATCTACAACGAGGATAACTTCATCTCTCTTTTTTTCCCCCAATAATTCAACAGGCAAAAAAGTCTCCTTTTAGCAAGGATTTTTTTATATTATTTTATCAAAAATATTTGCTGTTTTCAGTAATTGAATTCAAATTAAGAAATAGGGATCTTTAGAATACTAAGAGAAGGCAAAATAACTTAAAATAGTCACTAGAATTTCATGGATAGGTGAAGTCCCCAAATAAATGTCAAATTAATACTTGAACAATCTTCAAAAGCAATAAAAAAATGATCCAAAATTGTTCTCCATCATATATTACAGACTAATAAACTAAACTAACGAGACTATCTCCAAAGAATATATATATATATACACACACACACATAATGTAACCAAAGCAACATACATACATCCGTGAGACTTGTTCATGTTTATAGCAACATAACATTAAACTAAGACTATAAAAAAAACTGAATTCTAAAGGAGATATATATATATATATATATATACACACACACACACACATAATGTAACCAAAGCAACATACATACATACGTGAGACTTGTTCATATTTATAGCAATATAACATTAAACTAAGACTATAAACAAAACTGAATTCTAAAGGAGATACAAGAGGAGCTTTATCCATCTCTACAGCAAAACAACAAATGCAAGATTTCACTGGAATTACAAATAAACAGAAGGTTAAGTTAGCAAAAGTACTACCAAAGAATCCAGGGAGCCTTGATAGAAAGTATGAAGCACCTATATCTGGAAACAACCCCAGTGATGTTTCTGGCATTGCAAAAACCTGCAGCAGAAAAGAGAGGTTGAAGCTACAGTTTAAGGTTTAACTCAATAATGTAGATTGATATATTCTCTCTGCGCACACACACATATCATACTTTCTTACATATAGAGTTCCATAGAGATGAAAATCCCACAGTGACAGCTATCATTCCAATGATATAAGATTGCTCATAATAAACATGAAAAGGTCAACAAAACATGCCACGCTATCAGAATTGAGCAAAAAAAATTCAGTAAAAAGAGTACGAGTTACATTTAATTATTCTCAAAAACATGGAAATGAGAAAGGTCCCAAACATATGCAGCACAACTTTGTCCCTGGTAACTGAATAACAGCAATCCTCCACAAATTCAAGTGACAATAAAATTTATTGTGAACGAACACAAATTTAAAAGGCCACAAATTCAAGTGACAATGCAACTTATTTTGAATGAACACACATTTAAAAGGCCACTTCATGTGCTTTCATTTAGTGCCACTAACTTGTACCAAGAACTTCCTAATCATGTGGCAATACATAGTATGCTGAGATGCTATCCACTTGGTGAGAAAATGGCAGGGGATTAGACACCTATAAATGTTCTGCTACCATCCCTACCTTACATTAAAAATGACAATAAGGTAGGGTCCCAAACCCGAACTTGGAACCAAGAATCTAGGTTACTAAACCAAAACAAACCCAGCTCGGAAACCTACTTTTCTACCCAAACTCATCTCACACCCGATTAAAGGGTACCAGTAATTGGATTGAGTGGGTTGAATAGTCTCAATTACCTGGAAAAACCCAACAGCTGCCATATCCATCCACTTAAGATAGAATGTACACGGCTTCATCATGACTGAGTTTGGAAAGAATAAGCAGTAAAAACTTAAATGCTAGCATGACTTATCACGATACTT